CGCCCCCCCCAAGGCCGAGGGGGGCCAGCGGCAGACGGTGCCATCCCCACCGCTCAACTTCAGCGCAGGGACGCGGGCAGGACTGGAGCACCCGGAGGCACCTGGAGCGGTGGCCATGGAGCCCCTGGAGATGCCAGGGCTTGGGGAGACCCTGGTGAGCAGTGGTGAACCGGAGAAGACCCCACCTCCCCTTGCAGCCTCAGCCGAATATCGGGGCGGTGTCAGGCAGGATCCGGGTGCACCCCGAGGCCGGGTGATGGACAGTGTTGGTTCATAGCTGGACTCATCCTCCGGTTCTTGGCCACAGGAGCGACCAGAGAGCAGGATGGGAGGACCGATGGGGCAAGGTGAAACGATGCTGGACCCCCGCGGCATGTGGTAGCAGCATATCCAGGTGCCAAAAATAAACGGACCAGCGATTCCCCGGGGGAAATGCCAGCTTTGCCAAAACCCAGGCTTCCCTCGAACTCACAGCAGCGTTGCCACAAGCGGAAAAACTCTTGCCCAGCTCCATCGCTGCGAGGAGGGAGCGTGAGGTTGCCAAAATCCTCGGCAGGCTCCTCAATAAAGACTTATTTTGCGTAAAAGTGGGTTTTCCCCGCTTGCGCCGGCCACCTCGGCGCTGAGTTTCTATGAAAAACGGGTAGAAAAGTGAGATTTCCGTGTGTGCAGCCTGCCTCAACACCCGGTCCAAAGGTTGTCTGTATTTAGCACAATAAAAAAAAAAAAAAAAAAAGGGCGTTTTAGGCAAGGAGGCAATTGGTATTTATTTAGGTCAGGAAGTCAATGGTAGGTGGAGGGAATCAAGGCTGTATTGGTTTTGGCCTTGGAAACGAGCGTTATTTGATCCAGTGATGGTTCCCTGCATCCTCTAAAGACTGCTTGCCTTTTATTGAGCCTTTTTTTGGAAAGGATTGCAATATTTACGCAGCCTGGAAGGTCACCAGCTCAACAGGGTTTATCAGAAAAAAAAAAAACCATCAAACCATACAGGCATCAGTTAGAAGACGGTTTTGACACAGATAAAGCGGCTGCAGGGAGGAGGGAGCTCACCGGAGCGCCGGTGGGAATTGGGGACCCAAAATGCAGCTGGCTGTAGGAATTAGAAGTCAGGCTGTGCCCTTAAATAGCACTTGGGGGCGGGGGGAATTAAAAAAAAAAAAAAGGCACATTTCAGGGGAAAAGATGGGTGTTAGAGGTGGGATTTTCCACCGTGGTTCTGGCTGCAACGAGGAGTAAATCCCTGCTGCGAAGGGGGATAAGCCAGAGCATGGCCCTGTATCCAAACTGCGTCACCGGCTATTGGCTTAAACTGATAACGAAGGAATTGACCCAAAAAAAAAAAAAAATGGGGCTGCGAGGGGTCTGTGAGAGCTCCCAGATCAGGGATAAATAGCAGGCTCAGTGGTGCAGAGCTGCTCTGCCATGCCCTGTCTCTGCTTTCCTGCTGCGTGGTTTTTTCCCCTTCTCGGAGCAGAAATTGGGGGGGGATTTCCTCGCCTCGGCTGGGTGGCGGGAATAGGCACCCCTAACATCGCTCCCCCAAAACTGGGGTCACCCTCTCCCCTTACTCTGCCTCTCCAAGGGTTTATTTTGAAGGCTTTACATGTTAATTTTATTCCTTTCCCTTTTCTAGCAGCTCTCGAAGAAAACAGAGCTGTTGCCTCCATGCTTTCTGACAAAACAGTTAAAACACATCTATATATATGCAAAGGAAAGGGTGGGGAGGGTCTTAAACCCTCTTCTTTGGGCATTTAAAGAAGTCAATTTAAATTTTCATTTAAAATTACAGGTAGCCAGAGGCTTGGAGCTGGGGCCATTTTGTAGGGGTCAAAATTTGGGGTGTTTCTTGGCTTGGTGGGGCTTGGGGGCAGCACCCGTTGCTGGGTGAACCCATCGCACGCTCAGAGCCTCTGTGGAGGCCCCAAAACTCTGCTGAGCCCCACTGCGAGCAGGTTGGGGACAAGGAGAGGTGTCCCCATCTCTGTTCACCTGGGAGGAAAGGGTGGCTCAGCAGCAGTAGCATTGCTACAGGACCAAGCCTGTCCCCAGAGAGCGGCTTTTCCTTCCGCAGCCGGCACGGAGAAACATCAAATTATTGGTTTTTTAGGGCTTTTTTTTTTTTTTTTTTTTTTTGCACAGCAACTTTTATTTCCCCACTAAACAGAGTGACAGGGCAAAGAGACATAACAGCATCGCGGGATCACACGAGGGCGGGCAGGGGTTTATAAGCACGCGCGAGATCACACCTAAAACAAGACTTCCCCCTCTTTCCCCACGACACGGCCTGGGTTTCCAAACGGGAGCTACCCCCATCCA